AAAATACAGTACAGTTTCTAAATATGAAAAGTGAGAATTCATAAATACATCTGGCAAGGTAAAGTATATAGAAAATTAAGAAATTATTGACCCTCTTTTTACATCTGCTGTCATTGCATATATAAGTGCATATGCTTTGGTAAGTTTATTATTGCAATATGTATTTTGAAAGAATGAATTAAGGAAATATACATATATTGAACTTGAATGAATGTGTCTACCTTCTTCGTGTGACCAAATTTTGCAACAACCTGTGAAAAAAAATTACAAAACAGTGTGACAAAAAAAACATTTTATATGTTTTGAAGAGCTATAGAACTGACAAATGAATGTCATGACTGGATGACAAAAACAAACTCCCTAGGTAGGGCTAGGCCCTAGGCCTAGACAGACCTGCTGGGTTTAGGCTTAGGCCTACTCTAGACCCCTCTCCCCTCTAGTAAGCCAGTCTAGCATAGGCCTACTTGCTTGATACATTTCGATATTCTTGCTTCTCAAAGGACAATTTTTAAATTATACCTCAACATTTACAAATCTTATTAGGCCTATACCAAACTGATTTTCTTAACATGTGTAGGCCTGTGCGACCATTTCCATTCCAGGCTTGGTAGACGGGGCCTAACTAGACCGCTGCCGCACTGCCACTGACCCATTCAAATACACTAGCCTATACCTACTAGTTAGGCCTTTGACAATTAAGGGTGATTCATGACAAGCACAGTTAGCAATACGTACCGTCGTAAAATCTTCTCTCTCCTATGTCTCCTCCTTCTCCAATCTCGACCGATTTGAAAGCATCAAACAATTAATTATAACGGTGGTATCACTGGGGATATTTTTTGCGAACCAGCCCTTCAAAACATGTATTCCCCTCTTTATTTGCATTACAAATAGGCAGTGTGTGACCAGCGCAAAAATGACATTCTGCTAGGGGGAAGCAAAAAATTCTGCTAAATCATCCCACACTGTCTGTTACACTATATTACACTTCAAAATGCTGATGAGCGGGGGAGAGGTGGGTAGGTAACAATTGACGACTGAAGAAGCAAATAAAGAAAAATAAATAAATCAAAATTAAAAAAAAAAAAAATCAATTAATTTCAGCTTTTTTTTGTTGTTGTAAATGACCAAATAAATAATGAAGGGAAATGAGATTTATAAAAAAAAAAAAATTTTTTTTAATTTTTAAATTTAAAAAATCAAATCATATTGTAGGAGTTGATAAGTAAACCACACCGCTCCTACCGCTCCAATCTATTTTAAAAGAGACAATGGCCATTAAAAATAGATCCATGCTCTGACACATTTTGGGACCATGTACTGTAAGTAGGCCTATTTCTTACAGATTTTTTGGATGATGTGTTACATACAATTCATATGATGCTATAGGCCTAAACTATTAACTATAAACTGTCTTTATCTTCTTTAAGATATTTTAGTCTATAGGATTTTGTTTGAATTATAGAAATCTAATTACATGAATAATTTTGCTCACAATTTGTCACTGTTTAAAATAGGAAACAAATGTTTTGACACATCCCCTCTCAATCTCACTGTGAATAATACTTTCTTCACACACAAATTGAATTACGACTAATTAAACATAACTATACCCACAAAATATGATATCAATATATAATTTATTGACACAACATTTGAAGCCTATTGAATTATTTCCACCACATGTTCAGTACAGATTTACAGACACTGTCAAGTTCAAGTGGAAAATCCCAGATAGATTGTTCTGGGCATGCGTATGGACATGCATGGGCTTTGAAGCAAACATTCTGATCATTGCCTGCACTTGACAAGCTAAAACTATCATTCCCACGCTAAGACAGAACGCTAAAACGATATTTCTTCGGCGATTCCGTTATTTAAAACATGATTATTATACTACTTAAAATAACACATGTACAGTATTCCGAAAATCCGAAACTCTCCTAAATTCCGAACATAATATTCAGTATAAACACAAAAATCAACTTCTTAAACGAGACGATCAGTTAACCCTGAACAAAACAACAAGCATAGGTCTACCAGATGCCGTGAAAAAGAACTGTGATGTCATGCCATGGATATTATAATAAATTGATTAAAATGACACGACAGTATGTTAAACAAAAAGTTAAACCTTCCACTAGGGTGATTCTTTTCAGTATCCTGGCGTTTTAAAGTGCTATTTCCGAGCATCTAGACGTGTAAATTTTACAAAATTTTCTAACCCCAGCCCCAAACATGGTGGGGCTGAGGTTATTGGAGACTCACACTGTACCAATCAATGCTTCCGCCACCCCTGATTACGGAGGATATTTGTAGAGAATGAAATTTAAATTTTTTAGATTTATTTCTAAAATAAAACCATTAAGGTTTCTTGATATGTTTAAATTAGTTTGTTTAATTAAGTCATCAACATCTTGCACTGAGCTTGTGTTTGCACACCATTGTTGCACCCCTGAAAAACAAAATTAACAAATTGGTGGACAGGATTTCGGAGGCGAGGTCTCTGCCCTCAGCAAAGTGAATGCAAAAAAAAAATATCGAAATTAAGAACTTGAGTGCTATTTCTGAGCACCTAGACATATAAATTGCACAAAATTGTCTAACCTTAGCCCCAAAAATGGAGGGGCAGAGGTTATTAAAGACTCAGCGGAAGCAGGGGTTGGGGGGGCATTGGCCAACCCACTTTTTCTACTGGGGGCCTGGTCCCCCCCCCCTTTTGTGACTGTTCCCAGCACCGGTGACAAACATTTTACGAATGCTGCAATGTTATTATTATTATTATTACTATTAGTATTGTTATTGTTTTTGTTTTTGTTATTGTTATTATTATTATTATTATTATCATCATTATTATTATTTGGTGCTTAGACACCTTGTTTATTTGCACCTTATAAATTGACCTATTATTATCAATATATAATAATTTTTTTTTTCATTTTCTAACGAGCATTACAAGTTCCCTTTTTGAATTGAGCAACCAAATGTTGATTGACGCCTGTATACGCGCGTCTGTAAAGTTGATGGACATTTTATTTGCGCAAAACCCTCCCTGGGTCCCCTCTATTTCGACTTCCTGGACCAGCCACAATTGGAGTATCATTTCTGGGCTACATAGAAGGGTAATTTTTATCCATCGGAGGACAAGTGAAGTTGTCGTCGGGCAACCCATTTTAAGGATAAACCTTATGATAAATAATTCATTGAGATCATGGAAGCAATCACGACATCGACCTTGTTCGGAAATATGTGACACATTCAAGGGTGGCGGGGGGCGAGGGCTAAACTGTTCAATTTTTTTTAATGGAGATATAAGCAAAATTATATTCAAATTTTAAGACAGAGTGTAATTTCCCACCATCTAGAGGTGCCATAATCACAAATTTTCTTACCTCAGCCCCAACCATGGTGGTATAGATCCTCCATCTGCTAAAGTACCCAGTGGCGAAATCAAGGTGACCCAGCCGGCCCGCCCCCACCGCTAAATTGTTCATACAAAAATAGTGATATAAAGATAATTATATTCAATTTTTATGTCTGGAAGTGCAATTTCCGTCCATCACAAATTTTCTTACCTCAGCCCCAACCATAGTGGGGCTGAGGTAGTAATTTTTATTATTTTCTGCGGTGGTGTAATTACAAATTTCTATCTTCAATACTGCAAGTTTGTTGTAGTGTGGGTGGGTAAGGGACTTACCTGTATGAAATATTTTGGGTAGGTGGGTTTGGAGAGGGGAGAAAATTATGTTTTGTGAACGTTTATTTTAGTTTTTCAATAATTTAAAGAAAGAAATGTTTATGTTTAGGGTTAGGGTTAAAATTGATATCTGAATGTTTTTTAGTTAATTTGAAGTTGATTATAGTTTGTCACATGGAATTATTAAATGTTTTATGAGAGAGTGTCTATACTATATATACTTATCTAGGAATTATTAAATGTTTTATGAGAGAGTGTCTATACTATATATAATAATCTATGCACACAGTTCCATCTCTTTTGCTAACAACGCCTTCAGTAATACCATGGAGGAATTAGTTCAGACTAAACTAATTCCTCCATGGTTAATACATAACATATTCCCAAGTGATGCGCTAGTGAACACAGAGCATGTAATGGGCTGACTACAGGCAAATAAAAGCACGTGACCGAGGGATTAGTTGTCGATAGTTAACAATAAAAGTTTAAAGGTAAGCAGCTATTGTTAATGTTCAGCAAATAAAAAAAAACTTCAGTAAGTTGGGACTTGAACCTATTATAAGGTCCATGGTTGGAACAGGTTTAAAACGTATTCTAAAGAGCGATTCAAGATATTGTGATTTTTCTATACTCTTTATATTTTGTATAGAATTTAACAATAAGATTAGCTGAATAGATGGGTCAATGAATGGTTATCAGAATTGTATTGCCGAGACCTCACTAAACAATGTAGAGATTAAAGTTAACTTTTAACGGATTGTGCACTCTTTATTCTTTACCATTTACACGGGTCAGCAAATCTACAGAAATGTTTTTGTTAACTACTGCATGCCTGCGTTTTATTTTTGCCTTACGCGTTATCGATGCCTGATGACTGCTCCCGAAGACGTTGAATAATCACCATGAAATTTGATAATACTTTCGCTTACACAGGAGAATATGGTCGCTATCATAAACTCGTGTCGCTTTCTGTCTGTTCCATGATCATTCCCATTGCATTATTTAATATATGCACAGTGTTTATCAATGGAAGCATGGATCATCATTGTAAATTGGCAGAAACTGCAAATTGCAGCGATGTGGAAGGCGATGACTGCTGGAATGCAAATATTAGCATGAGTCTACCACCAGACGACCAGAAAACTCTATTAATAAATGAAACGCAATGCAGAATGTATACAACAAACGATAATGAGACGGAGTTGACAAATTGTGAATATGGCTGGAAGTATGATAGATCACATTATGACTCCACTATTGTATCAGAGGTAAGATCATTTTGGGAACAGGTTCTCCAGTGTTGGCGCCAGTTGGTTGGGGTGGGGAGGATGCTAGTGGGTTGGTGGTGGGGAGGGTCCCGCCGGGGAGCCTTTGAAACACCTACGTTGTCATATTTTTCGGGGGCTTCCCCCTAGAACACTTTTAAGAAATTTTGAGCGACGCCCGACCACGCACACTTTTTTCGTCGGTTGCATCGGCCCCTCACACCCCGTTGGGGAAAGCCTGGCGCTACCCCTTGACAGGTTATTTGAAAGGCAGTACTGTACATTATTACTGCTTTTAATAATAAGGAACTGAAGTTGTCAAATTGTTGGTATCCTATGGTCTTTTCAGTTTGATGCTGACATTTTTGTAATGTATGATTATTTTTTGTTTCGCCTTTTACAATTTTTCAAACAAAAAACACTACTTTAATTTTGTAAAGAGTTACTATTCAAATTGGCCTAATAATAATGATTCAATATTCATGAGTTCGTATTAACACCAAGGAAATCAAAATAATTCAACTGTGACGTAAAATTTAACCATACTTGTTAAACAAAACTAAACATTAGTACGTAATATCACTTTTTTTCCCCGTAAAATCCAAATAAACATTATTAACTTTTCATTAATAAAGAACAGTAGGCCTATTTGGCAGACAAGATCAATGGGCCTATTTAGATTTTCATCATGAAATATTCCGATAAGGAACGTATAAAGACAAACTACCAATTAACTGTAATAATGACTTGAGCCACGACCAAGGGAAACAGTGTTTTCGCTCGTCTCCAATGATAATAATAAAACGTTCCTTTGTGTTATATAATCTGCTAGCAGGGGCGGATCCAGAGATGTCAAAAAGGGGGCCCGGAAGGGGGTCAAAAGTGGGTCCGATCAAGATAACGATACCATAGGGGTCCGGGGGCATTACTCCACGAACCTTCTGTGTTCTAGACGCCCGAAAATAACCCCGAGGCCTTTTGGGCGATCAATTTTTTTCTTTTTCATTCTTTTCCTTCCCCCCCCCCTTTTTTTTGTCTTTCCAAAACATAGAAACACAGAACATAAAAAGTATGTGCTGTTCTTGGTAGTTGGTGGTTATCCTCTTGAATACTCCACTTGGAAGTCTGACAAAGTGGAAACTTTTTTTGAGATTTTCTGAGATATGAAATACTATTGGAATGCCCGACTGGAAATTATTTATGTCGATTCATATTCTTGTGGACAGTTATGATTTTGAAGAATACACAACATTCAAATATCAAAGTTGTGTAAAAAAAAGATATCATCATAATTATGTTAAATTGAGTGAAAATAATTGTATTGTCACAATATAAAAACAAAATAAAGATATTTTGCTTTAGTGCAAATAATTTTACTAATAGAGACATAAATTTCGTTTGCCTACCACCAATTCTGAGTTTATTGGTACCGTAGTTATGGTAATGGCGAGTCTCTCTTATTTATTTAAATATTCGGACGGTCATATATCTACATTAAGACCATGATTTGTATTGATAATATATCTACATGTACAATATATTGAATATAAATATTGATGAATCATTCTTATCATATATATCGTTCTGCTGACAGTTTAACCTGGTGTGTGAAGATAGTTATAAAACATCCTTGGCTGCGTCGTTGTATCTTGCGGGATTTCTCGTAGGTTCTCTGGTGTTTGGGCTTATGTGCGACTAGTAAGTATGCTGTGAGTGTATTTTAAGCAATTAAGAAGTTATAAATAATTATATTCTCTAAAGCGCAATTTTATTTACCGTTATAATGATTCCATAAACAAACTCCAGTCAAAACAAAGCGATTTTATTTTATAAATAGTTGTTAATAATTGTAAACTTTGAAATATTATTCAGTTTTGGCAGGAAAGTAACAATATTCGTAGCATTTGCAATATTACAGCTAACGGGAGCATTGAGCGGATTAGCAAAGTCATATTGGTTGTACGCTCTTACCCGCTTCTTAAATGGAACTGCAAATGTTGGACTTTTCCTTGCAATTTTCACCTATGGTAAGTATATTCGTATTATGTTCATTAATGCATATGAATATTTTTAGTTTATTAATTTACGCACACAGACAATGAATGCCATCATGCAATAGCAAGCCTAATCACTATCTTATGTAAGCGACAATCCCTTTTTACAATACAAACATAACATGCATGTGATGCTCTACATACATTTCTATGAATTTGAATTCATTTCAGTGACGGAGTTTGTGGGTCCTTCAAGGCGCGCCATGATGGCTGGCATTACGAACATGTACTGGTGCCTGGGCTACATGCTTACAGCCGTCATCGCCTATTTCATCAGATCTTTCAGAACACTACTCATTGTTTTCAGTATATCTGTGTCACCGCTGTTACTGCTCTGTTTGTAAGATAAGCCACTTTTTTTTAAAGGCAGTGAATAGCGACGAATCAAACAATTTATTAAGTTATATTTATTAAGATATATTCAATCAATCAATCAATCAATCAATTATTGACCTGCCATTGGCATATTCATTGCAGCCACCCCCTCCATCTTTCATAACGGGATATATTACTTTTATATTTCTTGATCTTGAAAAGGGTCACATTATACATTGTTTTGCTAAAGTTTTATTCCAGAGTCTGCACGTTGGTTACTTGTTAAGAAAAAAACAGATGAAGCAAAACATGTTCTTCAACGGATTGCAAAAGGAAACAATGTCGGGCTTCCAGAAGATTTATTTACAAATTTAGAAATAGATACAGTATGTTAACTTTGCTTTTACATTAATTTTGTTGGGCGAGTTCCATTTCAAAATTTTGCACATTACAAACTTTCCTACTGAATAGGCCTATCATGCTGCTACATTCACTGACTGTACTAACGCAATTTGCAATGTACTCTGCTATACATTCCTTCTGTAGTGCCAACTCCTTGTTCGTTAGTGTTTAAAATTATTGTCCAACTAGGAAATAAATTCTTAAGGTACCAAGAAGTGTGGTGTTACGATTATGTCCTCAGTAGCGGGTGGCGGATTTAGCAGTGGGGGTTGGATAATGCGATTTGCGAAGCACGAAGCAGGTGGGGGGGGGGAGGTAGTTTTGACAAGGGCGCAGATCTGTTTCGAATGGTGAAGGGGGCGGACATTTTGTGAGCCCACACGACGGTGGGCCTGAGGTGTGAAAATTGTAGGAAAAAGTAGCTCTAGATGACCGGAAATGACACTTTTATATAGTAAAATTCATCGTCATCACATCACCATTTTATAGTAAAAATGAAGCGGCAACAAATTTCTCATGATTTTCGGCAACCATAGATATCTAATTAATATGTGTTATGTACTATAGAAAATAAATATTAAAAACATTGTCTTTGATGTACTTAATTTAGGTCCACACAAGGGCTGAGGTGGGAACATTTGGGGAAATAGTTACCGGATAAAATTCATCATCATCGATCAAATTAATCGCTGTGGTGTCCATTGAAAATGAAACTCAATTGTCGTTGATGTATTTTCAATTTACTTTACCATGTGCCGAAAACCAATCTTATTATTATTATTACACGCATTTTTCTCTACTTCTCAAATTATAATACAGGCACGCGCACAAGAGTCTTGTATTATAAGTAATTCTGATGTTTGTTGGCAGAGATAGAGTACCAGTTGACAGCACACTTTCGTTAAAACCTGGGTCATTTATGCAGTTCATTTAAACATTTTTCAGGCATCTTCTTGACTTATGCGTATCATTACATTGCGGACGAAAAGAGGGACAAACCCCACTCCTTTATTTGGGACGTGTCGCCCTGTCCCTTCTTGATCATGGGTTTAGGGAGAGGCATCCCCTTCTATTTGAGATTTTTTGGAATTAGTTGACGGCTAGACGCTCTTGGATGACATCTAAAAAGAAGTTAAGCTAAAAATAGAAAGTGTATGTTTTACGAGAGTGGCCTACATGTAACATGTATACATGAGAAGCACACACACACACAAGACGAGTGACTATATTTTTTTTCGAGGTCACCGAAGGGGGTGGCTAGCCACCCTATTCACCCCCCACCCTAGATCCGCCACTGGTCCTGATTTGTACAGCCTGGGTGGTTATGAATAACATTTTTTTCTTTTTAAATTTTTTTTCTAAATTGATATATGATGATGAGTATAAAAACCGAAAGGTCCACTGATTAATCTCAGATAAGAAAGTATAATACATACTCCAAGTATTGAAATACACGCCATCGTGTTGGGATTCAATATTTCGACATTAATTATGTCATCTTCATTCCTGATGATGACATAATTAATGTCGAAATATTGAATCCCAACACGATGGCGTGTATTTCAATACTTGGAGTATGTATTATACTTTCTTATATGATGAGTATAATATGATGACAATTATATAACTATTTCACAGACACCTAGTGAAGTTCAGACAAGAAATACCAGTCCTTTTGATATCTTTCGATATACCTCCATGAGGAAGAAAACACTCAACATTTCCTACAGCTGGTACGTCATCATTAAATTCCCATATATTATAAATATCAACACGTTTCAGAATTGAAACATTGTAGGCATACAATAGGCATTGCACTGAAAAGGTTCAAAGGTCAATCAATATAAAGCAATGAATAGCAACATACATTCAACCTTGTTGAATATCTACAAGATAAAAAAACAATTTTTTATTCAAATTATTCCTTTGGTTTATTTATTCACATTAAGAAATTGATACACATAACATTACTCGTTTGCGAGAGCAAAGTTGTTAAAATACATTGACATAAAATTTAAACATAGGACTACATTAATTTAGCTTGCGCACCAAGTTATGATGTATCTCTGTGCATTTTCATTTTTAAAATTGAACAGGTTTTCCATCGTTCTTGTGTACTACGGTCTGACGTACGGCGTCGAGGGTCTGAATGTCAATGTCTATATTGGAACCTTTCTTGGCGGTCTTACTGAGGCCTTTGCTTATCTCTTTACATGGTTTATCATCCAGAAATTTGGTAGACGTTTGATGCTTGGGGGAACTCTTATGACAGGTGGAATCGCGTGTTTCGTCAACATTTGGATTCGTAAGTCAGTTTAATCATGGTTTAATATTCTGTAGAACGATTCTTTTCTTATATCGCATTAAATCAACCATCGAACTTCCTCCTTGCAATAGCGCCTTCATGACATTTTCTGTTACTTTAAAATGATGTGAAGTGTGCTTGAGAATACTAAGTTCAACTTATTTTTTTCTCTTAAAACAAGTTATATCGTCATTGCGGACTTATAAAATCCGCATACGCCTTAAAACTAAAAGAAAATGCATACATTTAGAGTCCGTACTGAGCCCAAAAAATCCGCAATGAAAATATAACGTGTTTTAAACTATATTGTACATTTTTAACCAATTTTGATAGTTCTAATAATGTTCCACATTTATACGAGCAACAAATTCCAGTAAAAGGATGATATAGAGTAAATCTGAGTCTGACTTTTAATATGCTTTGATTTTTGC